AAAAGACTATTTTCAGAAAGTACTATCGGCAATTTCATATCCGAAATAGAACGACTCACTTGGTATCAGGTTTTCAGTGAAGCTGATACTAATTCGAAATGGAATATCTTCTCGAGTAAATTTTGTGAGCTTTTCATCTCTTTCTTTCCAACCAAAAAAATAAAAAAGAATTCAATGAAAAACAAAAAGTGGATGCTGAATGAAGAAATCAGAAAAATGAAAGATAAAGTAAGCACCTTGCAAGTAATGGCTCATGGTAATGAACAATTAAAAAATATAGATCTTAATAACTAATTATTGCACATTATACTGTGTGAAATCAAAAGGAAATGTAAATAATTCAGAGGTCCTAGCCGTAGAATCTCCTGGAGATTTCGGGTTAGGAAGAACCAATGCGATATCAGAAATGTCAACGCTATGTGTTTTCTCAATTATAGGAAACACAAAGGAGTAAGATTTTCCTGTTTTTTTTCTCAAATGCGATACCTCAAACTTCGTTTGAGAATAATGGCCTATGATTTTAGCTACGTAGTAGACAATCAATTTTTTTTTTCAAATTTGATTAAAACAAAACTGTTGTCGTTAATCATTTCGGGCCTCACGATAGCATCGACATATTCATATTCATCTTCATTGTCATCAGAATAATCTACTACTGATGTCAAACTTTCCTGAAAACTAACGTCAGAGTTTTCAGATTCTGAATCAGTGCTTTCTTTTTTCTTTTTTAATTTTTTTGGCTTAGATTGTGCAACAATTTTCAAAGTGTGTTTCAACTCTCTCGCTTTCATTTTTTTTTCTAACCTATTTTTTTCCGGCGTATCCGTGTAAATTCTAGACTTTCCCGGTTGCCTTCCTTTTTTTATTTTTTTCTTTTTATCAGCTATAGGATAGGGCCGAATCATTGCTGGTGTAATAGAACTTGATTTTTCTTGCGGCTCTGAAGTCTGATAATGACCTTCAAGTACTCGAGGAGGAGTTTTTTGTGTAGCCTCAATTCCGGATGCAGAATCTAGATCAGGTGTTTCAACGTTTACGAGTGGATGTGCTTGAGAAGAAGATGCAGCATCTGTGTGAACATTTCGGAGTAACTCTTCACTACAAGCTAAAAGTTCCAGATGTTCATTAGCATTATTATGGGGTTCTTGCATTGGTTGACTATTAGTTGTATTGTTTGTGTTGCTAGACGTATATACCTCAATTGGTGCAAAATCTTCATCACTGAAAGCCAATTGATTGAATGGTCATATGCCTAGTGAACTAAATGAACTTGTGATGTTCTTAGCAGTGAACGCTTTAAAGTATGCTATCTTAGCTAATTTTGGGATATTGTAAATACTGATCGTTTTTCCTGGATTTGTCACGTGCCAATCATTGAACGCTGTTTTCAATTTTGATTTGAATGGCCCAAACACACCAACATCTAGAGGTTGAAGCCTGTGAGGCGTGTGTGGTGGGAACGACAAATAAATTATGCTATTATCTCGTGCGTAGTTGATTGCTGCCAAACTAATGTGACTTTCATGATTGTCACATAGTAATAAACTTGGATTTTCCTTAGAACTCAGTGCATGTTTTTTTATGTGTTTCAAAACATCTAGAAATATTTCAGAGTTAATCCAGCCAGTTCTATTCGTAGCCCCAATACTACCTTCAGGAGCTCCTTCCATGAAGTGGTCTTTATAATGTACTCCGGGAAATACAAAAAGTGGAGGTATTGCATTTCCGCTTGCTGAGATAATGCCGCTAAATGTGACTAATTCACCTCTTTCTTATGATACTATTTGCCCAACCTGTTTTTGAGTCTTTGTAGCTAACACTTTTGTAGTGTCTAAAACTGTCGATATACCAGACTCATCGAAATTCAATATACGATCTGCAGTAAACTTATATCTTTCATACACGGTTTTCAAATTATCGTGAAACTCATAAACAACTGTTTTGTTGAAAGCAAAAGATCTAGCAGCACTCGTGTTTTCTGGTTTTCTTAAACTCAAACTACTATTTCTTTTCCGAAATACATGGATCCAATCTATACCAGACAATTTAGTTTCATCCCATTTTGGCGGATACGTACATTTCAGAGCTTTAGCGTAAGCATATGCCAGCTTTCTAACTTGTAATATTGTGAGTCCGTAATGCATTTTTGAACTTTTTTCTATATATTCGTTCAATTGGGACTCTTGTTCTCTAGAGAATACTTGATAACTGGTGAATTTAGACTGATACGTGCGGCTCGTGCCAGCATCATTATGCTTACCTTTTATTTTTTTTACCCGACTCTCCAAAGTTGAGGCCCTAATGTTATATTTATCCGCTGCTTTTCTATACGACAATTTTTTTACCAAAACATATTTTCTTCATTTATTAATGTAGACCTAGTCTCTATTTTTTTCAATACCGCACCATTATTGCGTATTTTCTGAAATAAAAAAACTGTTTATACATATACATGTGGGTACATTCGTACAGTTACGGCACCTTCGTATGCGTATGAATGTGTCCCTCAAGTAGGCATACGAATCTGCCCCAAAGGTCAAAAATGAAAAATTTTCACCCACAGATAAATCATGTACAAAAATACATAAAAAAGATACATTATTATTATCGTGATGGTAGTTACTTACCAATTATCAATAATCCAATAAAATTTGTTGATTCACATAACCAAGAAACACACTAGAACATCAACAAAATATTTACTTTAAGTGTGCAAAAACACATTACAACCTGTCGCATTGCTCGCAATGGCCGCACTGGCAGCTAACTTCGTTGACAATTGACGGCCGTTCGAGCCTACTCAAAGACGCAAAACGGTAATAGATATCTCTTTTCAAAGGGCGATTGTAATGACTGTATGAAGCTTCCCCGTGTACGAATGGTGCCAATCTTCCCCTATACACTGAATTCAACAGACTACTTTTGAATGAATCAAAAAGTGACTATTCCAAAAATATGATTGAAGAAAGTGACAACAAATCAAGAACCACCTGGAATGTGATAAATACCCTCAACAACAAGGCAGGAAATAGCAGCACTGTTTTACCTAATACTCATGGGAATGGAGTGAATCTAGCGAGAGATTTTAATGTCCATTTTGTAAACTCTGCACCAGCTATCGAGAGTTTTCATAACAGGGAAAATCCTATCCCTAGCAAAACAAACCACAACTCGATACTTCTTTATCCAGTGAGTGAAGAAGAAATAATCCAATCCAGTTATAAACTCAAAAATAAAATGAAGTAGTGGTATAGACAATGTGCCATCCAAAATTCTAAAAAAGTATATTCCGTCCTTATTACCAGTTCTCTGCCACATTTTTAACGATTGCCTAGTATCCGGTACCTATCCAGATCAAATGAAACTGGCCGTAGATATCCCCATATACAGGGTGTCCCTGGACTTCCTCTTTTCCTCTCGGGAATGTAATGTACTTTTTGTAAACGAGAACAAATCGAATTTTGAAGATGACAAATATAGACATGAGTATTCCACCCGACAGAAATCCAATTATATTGTTCCTAAACAGATTGAAAAACACAGAGCATGGGCCGCATTACGCATCAATTAAATTCTTTAACCATTTACCCTTGAGTATCAAAGAAGATCGGACAAAACAAATGTTTAAAAAACGTGTTCTCGATCTGTTGTGTGACATTGAGCCATATTCATTACAAGAATCCATGGACAAATAACCATTTTCAGTCTGTATCAAATTTAAGCTTCCTAGTAACTTCAATATTGCATATTAAATTCTACTCGTCAATCTTTATCTGTAATATTTACTTATTTGTTCCTGTCATTTTTATATACTAATTGTATTTACCTATATCACATGCTTTTATTTAAATTATTACTAAGTGACATTTGTAATGTTAATGTAATCATTTCTATGACTTGAGTTTTATCAATTGTTTAAATTGAAAGCTTTAATAAATCTATCTATTCGATGTCCATTTCATGCAATTTTGCAATCGTTTTTATCGATTTGTTACACTATGCATTGTCTCGATTAAGCAACACTTTCTTTTTCGTCAAATGGGATCGTTTTTTTGCAATTTCGGCATTAAAGGCTCCAATAACGCTATATAATATTCACTGTTGATGGTATTTTCCTTCATAATCGATGAATATTACAACACACATATCCCAAAATACCGAGACCATAACCTTTCCAGCCGATTGTTGTGCTTTCGGGCGCTTCGGATGAAGTTCACCAGCTGCTCTCCACTCAGATGAGGATCGTTTTGATTCCGGAGTGAAGTGATGGATCCATATTTCATCCATTGTCACATATTCATGCGAAAATTCCGGTTCATTATGTTTAAATATGGCCAAAGAATGCTCAAAGTCATCAAGACGTTCTTGTTTTTGGTTAACAGTGAGCTCGCGAGGTACTCACTTCGAACAGAGCTTTCTCATACTCAAATGCTCATGCAATATAAAGCCATCACGTTCTTTGGATATCTTTACAATGTCAGCTAACTCACGCGTATTCATTTTTCGATCATTCAAAACGATTTTGTGGATTTTTTATATTGTTTTGAGAATAACAAAATTAATGTCACTCTTAGCAAAATAACTCACCAACTCATGAGTAGAATATCATGAAATTCCAACAGCTTCCTTTTGAAGGTTAGTGCTAACCGAAAAAGCGGTGAATACAATAAGACTAGCGCCATCTATTTGTTAGCCCCGAAACTTTTCAGCCCATGTAGAAGTTCCACGACACATTCATTATAAAATTTCATGAGAATGTGTAAGAAGTACGCTCAGTTCGTTTTGAAGACGAGCTGGAAATAAACCATCCATATTCAGGATACAAAATACTGCTTTCCATTATTTCACAATACTTGACATACCAGTAAATGATTTTCAGTACAGTAGAAATTAAATCATAAACAGTTTTTGAGTAATTGTTTGTGTGAATAAAATATTTTTTTGATGCAACTGATCCAGGTGAATGTTGGAGGACGGGTTCAGGAAATGAAGAACAATAATTATATAAAGTGGCTTTAATTTGCAATCCTTGAATAAATAAAATATAATAAATATAAATGTTCAATACGAGTACAAATTATACACCGAAAAGGAATGTATAAAATTGAAACAAGATAAAAATACTTGAAATTCAAGTGAAAAGTATAGTACAAAACAGTTGTAACTGCAAAACCCTAAATATACCTAGAACTATACATCGAACTTAACAGACCTAGTAATAAATTAAAAAATATACATATATTTAAATCTCATTAAAAACAGAAATCCTAATCGGAATTACCTCACACATTGAAAATATAACATATTCATAAACAGAGGTTAGATCACCATTTTTAAAACAAAACGGATGCCTATAATTATCTCTACAAAACATAAATTACCAATTAATTAGTAATCATAAATTAATAAATGAAGCATATCGAATGAAAACAAGTCAGGTTAGAAAGTATACCTATTTTCCTTTACAATTTTAATTGAATAATAACAGCTAGGTATGGAAGCAAAAGTTCATTCACACCAACAAATTTTTTCCGACATTTCAAAATCAGAATATGTCTTCTCTAATACGTCTCTTTAAAGAAACTCGTCAGAAGATCATGGGAAGAATAATTTGATCTGTCTTTGTTTATGTGTTATTAAATGTAACAGCAGTCACTTTTCAAGTCACTTCTTAAATTGTCTTTGAATGATGTTTACGTTTCTAGTTGTTTTTGAACAAAGCTCGGCACAGATTTTAAACATCTTCCCTGAAAAATGTTTTATTGATAGGTATTTCTACGGCTTAGTTCTGATGATTCATTAGATTCAATACTTCATTTACATAATTGATAATTTGTTTCAAGTTAAACAACGATTTCAATGTAATCAGGTTTGTCGAAATCAAAATGTCCTTCATTTTATTTGCTCTCATATCGTTCCTCTTGTGTAGGTATAAGTAGTAGTTTTGTAGTTGATTTAGTGAAATATTTATGCGTTTATTGGTATTTTTTTCAACAGAGAATGCTTTTAATATATATTTTTCTGTATTTGACTGTGTTCGTTTGACTGGAAATGCTTAAAATGCATTGAAATACATTCCAATTTGGAAACTAAAAAGCGTGACGTTATCCGAATGGAAATCACACCACTGATAGTCGTGCCGTTCTAATAGAGAAATTCTGAGTTTTCTTCATTTTTTAAAATAATAATTTCGAACTGTACATTCGGTGAAAGTGCGACTAGAAGTAGGCCGCAAACTGAATGCATTCACGTTTGGAATCAGAGCCGTGCGTACTACTTTACAATGGGAAATAATTATCGATGGAAAAGAGAAGGCTTCGGTAAATGTACTTTCTACAGTTTTTCAAGCAAGACCAAATATCACACGATAATTAGAAATTGGAATAGATCGGTGAGTGCGTACGTGAATTGTTTTTGTTATTTTAACGTTATTAATACAATTTGCGTTCTCATTCACTGGTCGCTATTTCATCCCTTATAACTCAATAAAAATGATAATTTTTTTCTCAAATTCAGAAAATGCAGATATCGAAACATCCAAAGAAACACTTTTTGACTTTATATAAGATTTGAGCTGGGGAGTGAAATTGGATAAAAAGATGCATGTAAGTAGCTCGAAACAGTAAATGGAAAACTATATTGAGAGTTTTTTGACCTTCCACATTTTGGAAAAAACGAGTAATGGAAAAAATATCTAGGTGTATAAACATAGTAGAGTATCTTTTACGAATAATTACAAAAATATCAAGGCATATTTTTGGAGGAAGAGAATCGTCTCTAGCTGTATCTTTTGGAAAATGTTCAACTATTTTCTTAATAAGCTCAATAGAATATCTGCAAAAATTAGAAATAACTTTCAGTTTACCATATGAACAATTTTCGAAAAACGTTCATAATGAGTTTTTAACAGTTCAGTTGAATGATAACAATCATTTGAATTTCTGACTCAGCAATCCTTCTTAATGGCCATCTGGTTACAAAGTTGGAAACGTTCAATAAAAACATTGAACTGGTTGATCTTCAAGGTATTGAAACCGTATAAAAATAAGTTGTTATGAATAAGAACCGAGATGATTCACCTGCTGCACTTATATTTACACGATTATCCGTTGTGAGACTGACCTTGGAGGTGTTACAAGATAGTACGCGAAAGGTGACAAAAAACTATGGTAATATATGGTATGGCATGAGCGTCACCTTGAATTTAATACATAACATTGATTTCATGCTATTTAATTTGTGAGTCAATTATCGATTTATACAAATTTGTAACGGTAACAAGTAATATTAATATCTAATGGCGCTTTTGGTCAAAGTTGAATACATGATAATTCAAATCTCAATATTGACATATATTCAGAATTTTTAATCACTACGTGAAAGCAACATGTTTTGATGGCCAACTTTGTTTCATCGAAGGTAACAACAATTTGAAAGGATATGCTTTGGGCAATTTGAGACATTTCCAATTTTTAAATTGCTGACAAGTCGTGTACGATATTTACTTCCTGTTGTAATTTTCATTAATTATTCAAAGAGGTATGGAAGAGTACGCCTTGGATATACAGGGTCAACTTCTCTCTCCTTACATGGATTTTTATTTCCTGTAATATTCGTTGACCTTCCTCTTTCAGAATACATTTTGAACGATTGTTTATCTGAAAGAATCTCAGGAAGTAGTTGATGTTAGATCGAGAGTCTAAGGTCTGAGAGCTATTGAAAATATGTTCTATTTATAAACGCTTGTAACGGAATTTGTCAATTGGAATTTCACAAGTAAGAGAATATTTTTACCAAAATATGAGATAGAAAAAAGTTATGGCCACTTTTCAAGTTTTTGTATCAGGAACTTTCAATAGATAGGTGATGACATTCCCAGGGAAGTTGATGATATTTTTTTCTCAAGTCAAAACCAGAAAAATTCAAAGAATTTGATAATTTGTTATATAGTGATCAATCCAGTGAGTGTGACATAAGCTATTGCTTTTTCACTACAGTATATTCAATTTGAGAGGTAGGGGTGTGCTATTGGAAGGCAGAAATAGCTCATCTCAAAAAAAATTGGTTTCCAAGTTTTGTTCAAAATACACATTTACCGGGCTGATGCTGTTGACGTCTAATTATTGAATAATTACTTTCCTACCCATGTGTATAAATATGACGTTAAACGTACGAATATGGAACAAATAGTTACTGCATTCAAAAATAACGGTTAGTGACATTGTTGGTAGTCAGAATTTAATATTCAGTAGTTGTTTGTATCAAGTCTTATAGGTAGAAGTTTGAAATACGTGAAAACCATTCTTGGCTACGGATTTGATTGAGTATGCAGATTAGAATGCCTTTCATTCTGCTTACTGAACGGATTATAAGAACTTAGGTACAGAGGGTGCTCAACAACAACATTTTCAGCTCAAGAACAAATCGAAAGGAATGAACAGATTTGAGTTTTGTGCCCACCTATTTCTAAATCGAGAAACACTTCAATGCGTCCTGAGCCATTACTTAACCTACTGCGCCAGAGTTGGCAATCTTTGCCTGAAACCTCTGCTGCCGTCGGGCCCCTTGGGCATCCTGAGTACGTTTTCAGCGTTTTGGAAAGCGGAGCTATTGCTCCTCGATCTTGGATTGCTGTATTCGCTGGCAGATGACATTCTCCTGCTGAAGCTGTCGTTACTAGAGACGCTGCACGCACTCATTCTCCTTGGCAAGAAGAGACTCGAGTCGCTGGAATCCCTGCTACTGTAGGAGAGGCGCCTCGGCATGTAGATGAAGTTAGCTTCCGTGCTGGAAGCAGAAAGCCGCCTCTGCAGCCAGGCCGCGGGTTCAATAAAGCGAGAGGGGAAGTGTGCTGATGAGCCACGACGCATTTTACCTGGAATAAAAAAAAATATTCGTTTAATCAAATGCATCACCATGTTTTGATTTAAATCATTATTTTCCGCCATGCTGTTTTTCCTAAGTATATTCATTTATTCGAAATCAGCATAAACACCTTTCAACGATCATGTAAAGCTAATACCAGAGATGAATAGCAAATAGCAAAGATGAATCTTCAACTTATTGATGTCTAGAAAATAGACTAGTCTTTCCCACAATTCAGAACAGAAATACCATTTTCGTTATATGCAACCTTCGAGGAAGAAATATGGAGGGCTCAAATTATTGAATCTGATCTGGAGTCAATAGTGATCCAAAAGCCGAAAAACAATCAGCCCAGTACATCATCATAACTCTAGTGAGTCGATTTTTTCAGTGGGAGGGTGTAGCAAAATGAGTAGTTTACTTGAAGAGATATCCAAGAATAGACAATTCCAAGATTTTTGGAGAGGTAATTTCACTAGATGAAATCAAATTTGTGTGTCTGGGGAGCCAGTTTCTATATAAAATGTGGCTGACGAGAAAAACAAGATAGAACACGTTTTTCCAAACTTGAAATACTGTTTATAGAAAAATGAAATGCTGGCAAGTGTATAGGAGAAGAGCTTGGACAAATTACCCGAATTAAAAAAAAAACTTAAGCTAAACTAGGCTGACGAGGAAAGCAAAGTGGAAAACGTTTTTTTAAACTTGGAACAATGTTTATAGACAATTGAAATGTTGGCAAAGTATGTATAGAGGAAGTGCATAGGCCAAATCATTCAAATTGAAAGAAACGATAACCTGAGCTGAGCTAGATCACTGAAATGTTGTTACTGATTGTTCTATCAAATCTATTTTTCTTCCTTCCAATTAAAAAGTTCTTGGATGGATTGAGATTTCATTTTAGATGATATTTCATTATATTATATGAATTATTCAAAGAAATAAGGGAAAATTTATATTAATTGAAACTGAAAGAGATGTTCAGTATGATCTATGCATATAGAAATGTTTATATAGTGGTTTGGTCATTGATAAAACAACTGGAGTAACGTGACGTAGAAACATTATATCACTATCAGTGGTATGTGGCTTTATGTGTTTAATTTTTACGATATAGAGGTGACTTTGATAAGAACTTGTGTGGTTTATAAATAAAGTCGGTATTTTTCTGGAATTGTTGAATAGTCTTATCACACCTTTTATTTATTTTTTAAAGCCATTTTATACAAAGAATATTCCATATAGACAAAGATTTGCGAAATGAACAAATTATTTTGAAATGTTGGAGGCATTGTTCTGACATTCTTGAGTTTACAAGATTATGTGGATAGAATGACAGTGAAAAATAAGAACAGATATGTCTCCCCTTAGATTTCATTTGAAGCCAGAATAATCTTTTTGTTTTGAAACAGTTATTTTATTGAGAATATAGACGAAGAGAATAGAACATGTTTACTATGCCATTTCACGTGTTCACATAAAGCAAATCTTTAAAAGATAATTTTCCATTCTGCTACCATTAGAAAAAAAAAATATAAAAGTTATTAAATTTTTCAACCTATAATACATTTGAAGCAATGAATTTTGCTTGTTATTACAAATTTTCTCGTTTACGAATGAAATGGAACATATTTTCCCCAAGTTTGCAATCAAGTATTTTGTGAGATATCCGATAGTCTATGATTTTGAGTATTTTTGTGATATACAGTATGAAATATAAAAATAGTATGGTGATTTGTTTATTTTCTGATTTGTTGAATAGCAACTGATCATAGCGAAATTCGAATAACTTTTTGATTATTTGAGTCAGGAATATTATAGAAACGAGTTACCCTAATTAATACCCTTCTAATACCTTCGGAGTTCATTTTGAAATTTATGAAATGATTCGACAGTCTAGAAGTAATGAAAATGAACAATTTATTCTGTAGAAATTTAACAGTTATCAGAGTATTATATAATGAAATATATATGCTTCATATCATGGAAATGTCTCCATGCATCAACACGAAACAGCTAATGTATGAGATTAAATTTGTAATGCTTTGAAAAACAATTGAAATTTCTGAAAAAATGTCTGAAATGTTTATGGATAATAGTGAATGTTTCATTGATAGAAGAAAAATATATAATAATTAAGAGTAAGCGTATATTTATATCAATTGTTCGTATATCCTACCAATTGATAGAATTAAGTACTTGTCTTCAAAAAATATTGATATTCTACAAACTCATTTTATGGATAATGGAACAAAGTGATTTTAGGTGAATATTACACATTCATTGAGCAGTACGAAAAGGACCACTCCCGCTATTTTCAAAGTTAAAAATTTGAAAGAAATATAAGGATTTGGTACATAAGGCATATATGTCATATCATGACCAGATGTGGAGAATGTCAATACAGTGTGGTTGAGATGAAAAAAGCATTATTATCTAAGAGAAAATAAGATATAAAGAAATTGTGCAGGTTAAAGGAAATGAATTTTGAAGTATGAAATTTATTAGAAATACACGTTGGAAAATAAAGATTGTTCTGCGAATCGTGATGCTTTTTTTTGACGAACAAAACATTTAACTTATATGTTCTTCATGACAATTCAAAAATTCTACACAGAACATTCTGGATCCCAAAATTATTAGGGTTCTTCATCTCAATGAATTGGATGTTTTGAATTATTGATATTCTTTACCTTTCGAAATATATTGTGAACAACAAACAGAAACTATGACATAAAACTATCGACAAAAGGTTTTTTTAATTTTGATAATTCATTTCATCTATTAAGTCAACTAGAATATTACTTTTATATAAAGATGTAACAACATCCAGAATATCCTATTAATATCAGGTTATAAATGAATTCATAATATTAGAAGAGTGAAAAAACCTGAATACCCGATAATTAAATATTCAACAAAAACTGCCTCCTTTCAAATTATTTTTCATCGGCGCATTATTTCTATTATTTTCTTATACTTCTTAATGTAATTACTAGCACATACATGGAACGTTTCAATGAGAATACGAGTAAAGACATTGAATGATAAACCTGCATGTGGGTGATAATCGAAATATATTTAGTTTAGATAGTTTAACATAGAAATTGAGAATTTATTATTCAGAATTCGAACAGTATAGAAAAAAGATTTCTCCTGTAACATCATATGCTCGGAATGTGTATAATTGATTGAAATTCACTCAAGCAAGAAAAAAATTATAATTGGAGAAAGTTCTTTCTCCGTTTCGCCGAACGGCGTCGACGAATTGAATAATAAAAATCTGTTTTCACATTACTCATTCGATGTTGTAATATTAGGAAGATTCTTACCTCTTGGATCAAATTTCTTCATATCCTCAGCTTCCGAACCGCTCTGACAGGACGACGAAATGTAATCCGATTCAGACGTGACGTTTTTACTATTCAAGAAATTATTGGTAGTAGTACTGTTCTTCTTGTTATTAATCTTCTTCTTCCTTTCTGGGTGAGGGACATTGTTCAATTCGTATACCTTCATAGGTTCTCCCAGAGAATTCTGCAGGTGGATGGCATTTCTCGCAGATTCTGAATTTACGAATTCTACTAGGGCGCACACCATGCCAGCCAAAGAAGGGTTCTTGTTGATAAATTGCCGCACATCAGCTGGGATAGGATTGCCAGGTCTCAGAATACGAATTAGGGCAATTTCTCCACAAGATTTGAACAGTTCCGCCACGTTTTCTATCGTGGGCTTCTCAATTGGCATGTGCACCGCCACAACCGTTCTGGATGGGGTGGTTTCGTCGTATTGAGGCAGAGCCTCCAATCTTCTGAGTTTCGTACCAGCCTCGTTGATTTCTAGCTTGTTGGATCTCACCAAAGCGTGAGCTACAACCCTCCAATCTTTCGTGATGTGCTTGACCCGTTTGAAACTAGAAATCAGCTTGAGGGAGACGTACCCTTCCTTGTTTCTCTTCACGTGTTTCAGCAGGAAGGCATCCTTCGTGATATTAGCGTCGGAAAAGTAAAACTCTACCTGCTGTACAATTTTGTCGGCCAACTCATCGGAAGGCGGTGTGAAGGGAGGTTCGGTGACCTCCGGAGTGACTTCGCACCCGGAGTCTTTGCCACCCCCTGCGGAGCCCGTGTCCGAGGCGCTGTCGCTGAGATCTGCCATGTGCGCCCCTTCATCCTCGGCTTCTGTAGGGGGTTCCGTAAGTGGAGCTTGATCGAAAGACAATGAGACATCGCTGTCTATGGAGGAAATGCTGTCCCGAGCCTCCATTAGTTTAGCGGATGAGATTAGCTCTCCAACGTCGTCGATTTCGGTTTGAATTTCTTGTGGAGCCGGCATTTTTAATTTTTTTTATCGAACTTACTGAACTAGTATCACAAAATATCACTTGGAAGTTATCAGTCTTCTGTCCTAAGGCACATACACTGGTAGTCGTGTAAATCTGGGTCACACGTGGTGGTTCGACCTGCTACTGCCAGACACTATCGTAGAATGACCTAGCTTTTACGTACTGAAGTTGACGAACGCGAGAACGTGGTTATATAGATATGGTGGGGTCCGCGAGTCGCCCCACCTCCATGAAAGAGGTGTCGTAGATACGGCTCGGTGTGTGATGATTGTAGACGGGTAAGGTTAAGGTTTGAGGGCTTTTTCGAGTGTTTACCGCTGTCGTTCAAGAGGTCCGTCTATTCGGGTCAGTCAACTTGCAGATAATAGTCGTCAAGGGCTAGGACAAAAGTGATTAGTGAAGTTTTTGTTGAGTGTGGCACTCATATATTCAAATATACAAAGGATGGTAGTCTGAAGGCTGGAAATATTTGATTATGATATTCATCTAGTCAGTTCAATTCTAATTCCACGAAAGAATAGTTTAAGTAAACAATGTAAAAATTTTAACTGGCATCAAATAAGTATAACGATGATTTTTTGGTCAGAATATTCCATTAACTACAAAAACTAATAAAGTCAGCTCAACTGACGGGAAATGTTTGAAAGGCATTTACATTTGAAAGGTCAATGATTTTGTTAATTGATCTTGCGAATATTTTTTATGAGTTTGAGTCTTTTTCATCTTTACATTTTACTTTTTTGAACTTATCAGAACAATTTTATTTAATTGAATTGAATTGAAGAAACATTCGCTTGAAAAATTATGAAAAAGGTTTGTTGTACCAAAGTTTATTTTAACAAATATTCGAAAGTGCTGAGTTTTGACCAAAATGGTTCCTCCACCAAGAAAACATCAAATTTAATATTGTCGATGATTGCAAGGTTTGAGTTCTCAAAAGTTAATTACCTCTTTGACTTCGTGCTTGACAGATTACAATATTGATGAATTTTATGGGTGAGTTCAGCAAAATGTAACTTTTACAAAAGATCTAGCACTATTTTTCACAGAAATGGTTTTTTTATTTGAACGTTGCTTAGCTCTAAATAAACGTAATCAAATTCATGGGAATTTCTGAATCAGGTCACTTTCTTTTGGTTTATACACTATACTAGAGCATTATCAGGCAAATCGGTTGTCGAAAATTATCAGAATTCTTTGAACGACAACGAATTCAATGTTTCATAGAAGGTATGGAAAAGCACTTATACATTAAATAGTTAATTATTGTTGAAAATATTTCAGAAATACGTTATACATGAGGTTCCATCAAGGATCATGTTGGAAACTATGACCATGTTGGAAAACTATGTATAGAAACATTTTGAAAATTTGACAGTGTATTATTGTCTATGCTGGGGGCAACCCAGTCAAACATTTTCAAAATAGTTGAATTTTCCGTTATGTCTGAAAAATAATTTCAATTTGTACTGTTGAAAATGAAGCCAAGTTTTTGTGACGTTGTTTATGATGAAAATAGTTATAGTCAAATAATAGTTATTTTATATGGGATAGAGAAAATAACTGAACTTTGAAGGGCCGTAACTTTTTAAATAAGGGAGAGCGCCGCTTTTTTCTTTCGGATTCGTAATCTACGCATCAAAATACGTACGTACAGTCAAAAATTTTTTCAAAATCGCCGGGTGTCCACAAAAATTTACCAAAAGTTATTTTCTGTATCCTATATTAAATATAAATTTCTACAAAATAAATAGATCATCAATTGAACAAGTTATAGTTATTGTGGGTAAAGGGGCGTGAGGGTAGGGGTAGGGGAATCGGTTTCCAAATAAGGAAGCCTTTAAAGTTGCTAAAACTCCTCCTTAGTCTAATTTAGAGAGAATTTCAATTTTTATTAAGATCACTGTAATGAAAATATGTATGGGCTCACTTTATCGACCAGCTAGCTTTAATTTATCAAACTGTTCAAAAAAGTTGAGAAATACAATTACGAATTTTCTACCCGAGTTTGACAAAGTGTTTGGTGGGGCGGTAGCTAATAGGGTTGACGTAAGTGATTCGTTCTACTCATTCAGTTACCGCTATGAGAAACGGTGCTTGGAGCTCTACGGCAGTAGGTACGATTGATTTTCAATGCGTATCGCCCAACCCGTGCTAGGCATCGCACGTCAACAGGTAGTATCTCGTTAGTCCTCGCTTCGCACAAATTTCGACTTCTGCAGCCTGTCATTTTTGACAGAAAAATAGATTCAAACAGATTCAATAGATTTTTCAACAGATTTTAATGCCTATATGACAATCCGTTTAAAATGAGCCACCCTGATTAACTTTTGGTACAATGATTTTCAAGAAAAATAAAAAAAACCGTCAACAATAGGATAGAGGGGGACACTTTTTAACATATTGACATTTGATGTTACTTCCCCTATCGCACCCCCAGAGCATGTCACCAATTTTTTTTTATATGGATAACCCTATATTGTTTCGCATTATCAGATGCTCAATGATGAGCAGATTTCAACAAAGTATAAAACATATGGTCTGAAGCTTATGGTTCGGGAGCTACAAATTATTTGAGTTGAAAACGAGCCACCCTGAATAATTTATGATTTGCAGGAAAAAAAAAAACAGATCAACAAAAGGCCACATTTTGAAATATTCGTTCTAGAGACAAATATGGAAGCAATAAATCAGAAGAGATTTTTTATAAATTCTTGAATCAAAATCTGATGGCTGGACAATGAGAACAAAATAATTTCCTTTAGTTAATGTTCAAAAACGTTTCCACCAACTTCCATACAATGGTACAAACGAGCTTCCATTGCCGCCCTCACATGGTTGAAAATATCGGGAGTTATTTCTCTGCAACGCCTCATGATTTTCTCTACCAAATCATCTAATGTTGTTGATTCTATCTCATACATTTTAGACTTCAAATGATCCCATAGAAAGAAATCTACAGGAGTGAGATCCGGAGACCTTGGTGGCCATTCTGTAGGACCTCTACTGCCAATCCAGCGACCAGGAAAATGATCATCCAAAAATTGTCGCACTGGAGCTGCATAATGAGGAGGTGCACCATCCTCATGAAAAACTATTTTGTTTTCGAATAAATTTATATCCTACTCAATTGCCCCATTGATGCACGGTATTATTCGATTCACTAACATATCCAAACATTTATCACTAGTCAAATTATCATCGATGAAAATGTCCTATGATGTTGTCACCTGAAATTCGTGCCCAAACATTCAGTTTTTGAAGTCGTTGGGTATGAACTTGACGGTATAAATGAGGATTCGTAAACTCCAATATCGACAATTTTGCCGATTCACCTCTCCACTCAAACTAAACGTACATTCATTCAAAAAACAAATTTTATACAAGAAATTCTGATGCAAGTTGATCCGTTCAGTGAGACTTTCACAAAACTCGATACGTCTATCGAAATCCTTTTCGTTCAATTCATGAACTAGTATAATTTGTACTTGTGAAGGATCTTGGAAAACATTTGTATGACTGATTCCTGATTCTCGAGATACCTCAGTAAATGATTGCGAATTTTCCATTAGTCCAATGTGCCCTAAAACTGCAGTACAAATAGCTTCATACTTGACAACTCTTGAACGGTTATGCTTTTTATTGTTAACAGATCCAGTTTCCATTTGTTCAATAATTCTGCAACGTATTTGTGTCGTACATTTCTTCCTGGATAATTATCAATTGCTTCTCAAAAATGCACAAAAACAGAAACTTCACCTGGTAGGTAATCGTTATTGTAGAATGAGACAAATACAAAATGAAGAGAATATCGAATTCAGTATTCAGTATTGAAGTATACTTCACGAAAACACCCATGAAACCTGGGTAACAGATTTACAGAAGTTCATTCAGGGTGGCTCGTTTTCAACTCAAATAATTTTTAGCCTCCAAACTATGAGCTTCAGACCATAATGTATTCTACTTTTTTGAAATCTGTTCATCATGAAACATCTGATAATGCAAAACAATTGATCTATTAAAAAAAATGGTGACATGCTATGGGGTGCGATAGGGAAAGTTAGATCAGATGTGAATTTGTCAAAATGTGTCATCCTGTATACTATTGTTGACGTGTTTTTATATTTTTTCTGAAAATCATTGTTCCAAAAGTTATTCAAGGTCGCTCGTGTTCAACTCAGATCATTTGTAGCTCCCAAACCACAAGCTTCAGACCATATGTTTCATACTTTGTTGAAATCCGCTCATCATGGAGCATCTGATAATGCGACACAATATAGGGTGATCCATTAAAAAAAATGGTGATATGCTCTGGGGGTGCGATAGGGAAAGTAATATTAAATGTGAATATGTCAAAATGTGTCCCCCTGTACACTATGGTTGACACTTTTTTATTTTTCCTGCAAATCATTGTACCAAAAGTTTCACAGGGTGGCTCGTTTCAAATGGAATGCACTCTATACTTGATACGAATACTACACGAAAGACTTATTTTTTTGATAAAATAAATATGGGTTGGCACAGCTTTGTACTTTCTTACTAGAGTTGAAGAAGTGATTATTTCATCTGGTGCAAACATGATTAATAATGTGTCAGTATTCAGGATGGATAAAATGTCTGATCATTGCTTAGTTGAATATGATTAAACTCAGAAAAACAATGCGTACGCCAAAGATGGTATTATTCTCATTTCACCTATGATGTTTTTTCATGCGACTTATTTTCCATTTTTATTTTCTCTCTGACTACTGTCACTGATAACGTTAGTTTTTGGAATTATAAAGTACAATCATTATTTGGTACCATGTACCTATCAAAACAATAAAAGTAACTGAAGCACCTGTCCCGTAGTTGAAACCTAACCTGAAGTGATTCATTAAACTGAAGAAAAGTGTTATTTCGAAATAGAGGTCTTTCAAAACAGATGGGTCTTACGAAGAATACCACGGAAGCGCAGGAGGCCACATATTTTTATTATTCGTTTCTTGGAGATTATGACTCTAAAACTCGAAATTTCGAGTTTGATTTGGAAATTATCACTTTGAACTTGACATTATTTCGACTTTTATCCCGAAAAACGACTTCAAAACAAAAATTTTGAGGTTGAAATCGTTATTTAAAGGCGATGGTATCTCCATCTACGCCATGTATTGGATCGATCGAGAACTCAATCCT